TAGAATTGAGATATTTCTTCTAACTCATCGTCTGGTTTTGGACGCAAGCACCGGACGTCCGATAGAATTGAAGAAGATTTTTCAAACTCACTACCTACTGTCGGACGCATACTTCGGATGTACCGAACGTCCGATACTCCCAACGGCTAGTTGACTTTTCAGTTACTTTCTATTCATTGGAAGAATTAATGAAGCACTTTTTTGGTCTCCTATAAATAGAGCATGGTCAGAAATTTCAAATAACTTTTGCACACTAAAGATACAAAAGATATAGAGTAGTTTTAGTGAGAAAACACTCTCCAAGGAAGATTTGTAGTTTTAGTGGTGTGAAGTTCATTGTAAATTTTTCATTTGTGAGTGAATACTTCAATAGTATAGCTCTGTGAGGGTTGTCCTGAGAGATAGTAAAACTTCCTAACTTGACCAAGTGAAAATTGGGGTAAGGAGGAAGTGAGCCTTCCTTTGTACACAACATTGGTTGTATTTCATCAATTTGAAGAAACTTGTTTGAATTGATCTACAAGTTCAAGAGGAACTTGGTAGTCAATTGGTTTGTAATTCTTCCCTTCTTATTTATTTATTGTTATCTTGTGATCTTTAAATTGCTTATATCTTCAACTTCTCTCAAGTGATATTGTTCATTCATTGATTGATTCATTGTGTGATCACTTAGAAAAGAGGGTAAATTTCATATTGAACAAAAAGTGCCCATAATTTGATTAGTATTATAATCAACCTAATTCACCCCCCTCTTAGGTTGTTTTCGGACCTTACAATTGGTATCAGAATTTGGTCTCCTAGAGATTAAACTCAAACGGCTTAGGAGTAAAGATGACAACCAACAATGCCATATTTTTTGAAGGACAATCTATGATTTGACCTCCAATATTTAATGGATCAAATTATGTGAGTTGGAAAGAAAAAATGATTATCTTATTGCAATCGATTGATATTGAATTGTGATTTATTGTTAATGAAGGTCCATATGATACCTCTGTAGTAGATGAAAATACTCATAGATCTAAACCAAAAATAAGAAATGAATTGACTGCAGAGGATAGAAAGCATCTCACCTTAAATGCAAACGTTATGAATGTGTTATATTGTACTTTAGATTCAAATGAATCTATTAGAGTCAAGGGATGTAAGTTAACTAAAGAAATTTGGGACAAACTGCGAGAAATTCATGAAGGTAATGAGAATGTTAGAGAACAAAAGAAATCTATTTTAGTTACTAAATATGAGTCTTTTAAGATGGAATCTCATGAAGATATTGATAAAATGTATTGTAAATTTAATAATTTTATTAAGAATTTAGAGGTTTTGGAAAAAGAATATACCTTAGGAGAGAAAAACAGAAAAATCTTAAATGCTTTGTCTAATGATTGGGAAAGTAAAGTGACTGCTATTGAAGAGGCAAAAGATTTGAATTCTATACCTATTGAATCTCTTATTAATTCTCTAATCTCTTATGAGCTGAAGTTTAAGACTAAGGTACAAGAAGAAGAAGATGCAAAGGTAAGAAAGAGCATTATTCTAAAAGCATCTCAAGATGTAGATGATTCGGTTTCATTGGATAGAGAAGATTTGGATGTTGATGACAATGATCTTACTCTCATCATACAAAGTTTCAAGAGAATCCTCAACAAAAAGAGATTCACAAAAGGAGGACCTACCAATTCAGATTCTAATCAATTCAACATTGTAAGAAACAAAGGAAAGTATAGGGCCAACAAAAAGCAAGGTGACAAATGCTATGAATGCGGTCAATTTGGACACTACATGAGTGAGTGTCCAATGAAGAAGAAGAAAGAAGGAAGAAAATCAAGACTCAACAACTTCCAATTCACTTGGAATGAGTGCAATTCCGATAGTAAAATTGAAGAGGAAGAAGAATCTAGTCAATTGGCTTTTATGACCATTAAAGATAATGAGGTAACAACTTGTAACTCTCAATTTGATAATGATGATGAAACTGATAATGATCTTGAATCTTTTATTAAAAAATTGCATGATAGTTTGAAAGAATTGTTAGAAACAAGGAATTGAAACACAAAATTAGTTTTCTTCTTCAGGATAACACACGCCTTTTTCAAGAAAACAAGAAGCTGAAAACTGAAAATGATTTCTTGAAAAAAAATGAGATTGATTTACAAAATAAGTTTGATAGAAAAATAAGTCTTTGTGAAATGTTCAAAAAGGAGTAAGGTGATTTGAAAAGAAAAATGAATAATTTAAATGAATTGCTCCAACATAAGAAACAAAACCATTTTCAAGGAAATGGAACAAAAACTCATTTTGGCACTCATGAGAAGAAATTAAATTCTGGTGCAAATGATTTTGTAAGATTTATTAAACCTGATTTTGCAAATAACTCTTTGGTTATATGTAATTTTTGTTGTTAAAAAGGTCACATGAAAAGTGATTGCTATGTGAGGAAAAACATGAGAAGAGGCATGAAATGCATGTGGATAATTAGACATGATGCTAACTCTCAAAAATCCAAATCTCTTGGTTGAGAATGTTTTTAAAAGGGGCATTGTGGATACCACTCTTTTTTCTAAACAATGTTCAAATGATCTTCTATTTGTACATATATATGTGAATGATATTATCTTTGATGCTATTAATGAGTGTTTGTGCAAGAATTTTTTTCCACTATTATGTTGAATGAGTTTGAGATGAATATGATGGGAATTTGAATTTCTCCCTTGGATTCCAAGTGCTTCAAACTCAAGAAGGTACGAAAATTGATGAGAAGAAATACAGAGGTATGATCGCTACAAGTATTTTGTAATGCTTTTGATATTTCTGATGTCCTGAACTAAGTTTCCTTTGATAGTTTTTAAATGACTAATGAATGTTGGTTGATATGAATGTTTGTCTCATTGATGTTCATTAATAATTTTTGGTGTCTTTTGATGTTATTCTTCTGTCATTGGCTGATGATGGTTGCCACTACTATTTTTTTTTATGGTAATTATTCTCTACTTTTATGATGACAAAAAGAGGGAGAAATTACAAAATGGATGCTGGTTTGGGATGTTATGAGTAAGGGGGAGTTCATTTGATAATATTATATGATGGTACTTAATAGTTTTGGATGCTATGAGTAAGGGGGAGTTTCTACTCATTTTCCTTCCTTCCATCCATTGTTTTGTCATTATCAAAAAGGGGAAGAATGTTGATCTTGATCCCTGTCTTTTGATATTCACAAACAAATGGATAGTACTAATATCTCCTCAAAAATCTTTTCAGCAATGAAACAAATCAGGTTCAAAAATTAAATACAATTGAAAGAGACAAAGAGTGTTGAAAGCTGTCGGACACTCGTGAAGACTGGATCAGACGTCCGATAATTATTGCGCAACTTCGGATGCATGAAAAACTCCATCACCGGACGTCCGAAGGAAATAAGACATTTCCCCTAACTCACTGACCTCGATCAGACGCAAGTATCGGACTTCCGATAAGATCCTTCAAACTCGACGATAGCTGTCGGACGCTCACAAAGACAATACCGGACGTCCGATAGAATTGAGATATTCCTTCTAACTCATCGTCTGCTTTCGAATGCAAGCACCGGACGTCCGGTAGAATTGAAGAAGATTTTTCAAACTCACTGCCTGCTGTCGGACGCATGCTTCGGATGTACCGAACGTCCGATACTCCCAACGGTTAGTTGATTTTTCAGTTACTTTCTATCCGTTGGAAGCATTAATGAAGCACTTTTTTGGTCTCCTATAAATAGAGTATGGTCAGAAATTTCAAATAACTTTTGCACACTAAAGATACAAAAGATATAGAGTAGTTTTAGTGAGAAAACACACTCCAAAGAAGATTTGTAGTTTTAGTGGTGTGAAATTCATTGTAAACTTTTCATTTGTGAATGAATATTTCAATAGTGTAACTCTGTGAGGGTTGTCCTGAGAGATAGTAAAACTTCCTAACTTGACCAAGTGGAGATTGGGGCAAGGAGGAAGTGAGCCTTCCTTTGTACATAAGATTGGTTGTATTTCATCAATTTGAAGAAATTTGTTTGAATTGATTTACAAGTTCAAGAGAAGTTTGGTAGTCAATTGGTTTGCAATTCTTCCCTTCTTATTTATTTATTGTTATCTTGTGATCTTTAAATTGCTTATATTTTCTATTTCTCTCAAGTGATATTATTCATTCATTGATTGATTCATTGTGTGATCACTTAAAAAAGAAGAAAAATTTCATATTGAGCAAAAAGTACCCATAATTTGATTAGTTTTATAATCAACCTAATTCACCCCCTCTTAAGTTGTTTTCGGGCCTTACACACACACACATATACATATATATATACGTATACAAGAGAGGGTGAAACTGTAGATGGATTGCTGCACTATTTGATCCATTTCCTATTAAACTAGTCCATCTATAACCACTTCTTGAAACTTGAAAGTTAACTGTGCAAAATTTTTTTACTTTACTTGGAATATTTTGAAGCTTTTTAGAGTCATTCATGTGAAACTAATGCATTCCGGCCTAATTAAGACAAAATAAAGTAACAAATTTGTTTAAGGACCAATTTTTTGGATCAACCAGAACTTTCATGAGTAGATCCTGTGGTAGACCTAAGAGCCAGCCCAATTTAGATTCCCCATAATTAAGAGCCACATCTGGATTTGAACTTTCATGCATAGGTACTCCAGTAGAGATTTACCGGCAGAACCTAGGAGCAATTTTTTGGGGAAATCACAAGTTTCTGTAATTTATGACCAAAGCCCCAGCCCAAATAAGATTTTTCCATCAAACTTAATAGCCCTTTTTTGTTTAACAGATTCTTGTAACAGAAATTGGCACAAAAGAATGCTTTTCCCCAAAACCAAGTCAATGTTTCATTTGTACTGTTCATTCATTGTCTCGCAGAGAAAAATTTGTCCTTGAAGAATGCCCGGACTGCATTGTAATCATGACCACAGACATTGTAAGGCACCTCTTACCTAGACTGATATCCACCAAATGACAGATACAAGAAAATCAAACAGGTATTTCACAACCAAGAATACAATTGTTTACATTAATATCAAGTTAGTTCCACAAACATATGAATTTTTTTACTTGTTGATAATGCCCGCACAAAGTCATATCAACACGATCTGAAGTCTGCAATAGCTGTAAAATGAGGATCATAGAAATGCCAACTTTACAGAGAGAATCTTATACTTGGTAACTGAGTTGGATGATCAGTGAACAGTTGGTATAGGTCACATTTCATAAGCAAGGGTTCATTGCTTTATGTTGTCTTCCTTTTGCCAAAGCAATCACTACAACTAACTGCCACGATAAGTGGAGAAAGAGAAAGGCGAGAGCAGCAGAGGAACATGGAAGTGTTCCAACTTCTGAGACTCCCTGACTTCAAAGACAATTGAGACATAGGGGAAAAAACCAGCAGGATTATATTTGCCAGTGTTAAAGCTAATGCAATAGATCCCAGCGTTGAGATTGTCAACCATACTAATCAACTGACCACTCCTTCCATCTTTATCTGTCATTGAAGTCCCTTGAAGTATCCAGTGACCTGTATGAGACTGAGTAAAAGCTGATGGTGGTTCATTGCCTTCCCAAATTTCCAATTGAACTTCAATACCGGCAGCTGGAGAGCCCTGTGCAACATCCAGGACATGGGTTGTGATGGGAGGCCGAGTCCTAGTAGTAGCTTGGGAAGGTTTCCCAGTGGACGCTTCACTAGTTAAATGTCCCCCAATAACACTTATTCGATCTTCTATAATTCAAGAAATGTAGTCATTTATAACACACAAGACTGATATATCCAAGAACACAAATTTAACTTTAAGATGTAGAAGAAAACTAGCACGGTAACAGTCTACAGCGGGCTCACAGTTTATGTCAGAACTAGGCATTAACACAGAAACTATGACAATTTAATCCATATCTATATCAGATGACAGTGCAGATTTTGGCTAGAACTATTTTGTTTACTCATCCCCAATCTGCAAGCAGATAGTCCACAAACCAGAGGTGGGTTACAGATGAGAGTAATCATGCAAGACAAATGTCATTCAGAAAAGAAGGAATGGAATGTGCGCATCAGATAAATCCAGAGAGTATGAAATGACCTCAAATTGACTGTTGTACAAGAGAAGATAGAAGACTGTCTGATAGTTCTCCTTTTACTTTTTGTAACCTTATCATTGAACAATTGTTGATCTACTGGGTTCACTATTGGCATGTAATTGTGTGGACAATAGATGCATATGTACGTATAAATTGGAGCGACATACACAAGCTTTCCTATCTGCTCAGCCGGATTCAAGCATAAGTCAAGTCAGCAACAAACCAAATGTCCAGAATGTGAATTTAACTGGAACACTGGAGCTCAATAATGCAATCAAATTTGTCTTGGTTCAGGGGCAGCTCTAAACCTGACGGTAATATTGTGATTTGTGTCTTTGGAAAAAGAATCGCTGAGTACACACCATATTTGCAAAATAGTCTGCTAAGCCATACCTCATTAGCAGAGTACTGATCATTATTTGTTAAATGACTGTTAAAGTGATGCGGACAACGTGTAAGCCCTGATTTAGTAACAAAATAACCAATTTCAAACTCTTAAATACCTAAACATACCAATAAGTAACTAATTAAAATAATAGCCATCTATACTTAGATAGCTTGAAGCAGAAGTGTTCAAGTTTTTTGAAGTACCAAAGCCTAATAAGTTAAACTAAGACATCAAACTTATTCCTTGAACTAGGATAAAAACTGCACTAGAAAGAATTTTGACCAAATATGTAAAATATAGAAAGTAAAACAAGAAGTTATAATTTGGAGTCAAAATGCATACATGTTAAGGAAATGTAGCAATACCCAGAGAGACATAAGGGGTAACAAATAGATCTTAATGCATTGAGCAGTGGTTGAATGCAAGATTACCTCCTGCTTTGTTAACAATGTCAGTGGCATTGTCTGTCTTAGCTTCAGAAGAAGCATCTTTTTGAAGAGAAAATAGCTTGGAAAGTCGTAATTCAGTTATTTTCATCTGTTCCTGCGCAGCAATCTCGAGCTCAACTATAGGCCTGTTCACATAGCGTTTCTGCAAACAAGGAGAAGAGATGAGCAATAAAATCAATATATTGGCTCAAACTTAATCCTACACTAAATGGCCATTAATGGGCTTGAAAACTTTAATGAAGGTGTTGAGAAACCAGATGTAGTTAATAACAAATTACTGAATGTCAGCTTTGTCCATTTCACATGCACCAAAAATCTAATATACAAAGGTATCTGAGTAATGTAGACATAAATCCTTTCTTTTCTTCTAACTCTAAAGCTAGCAAATTGCATGAAAAATGGTTCTCTTCATTAATTTCTTTCTTTTTTTTTCTCACCATCACACTTTTTGCCCTTTGCTTTTCCCTTAAACTCACGAACACATAGTAAATTATTCAAAAAATTTCTCCAATTAATGGAGGACAACTGAGTCAGCAAGTTCTGCAGGAGAAAATAGACTCTGCTACAAAAACTTATGGCCTTGTAACTTTCAAACTTCACCTTCATTTCTGCAAGAATTTCCAGTGTAGTCCTTCCAGATGCAAATATGAGAAAGACAATGCCAAACTTTTGCAGGTAACGAGCATTCCACTCGATCAGTTCCTGAAAAATACAGAAACAAACAAATAAGATAAACACAAAATAATGGTACTCAAGCCCAAAAGAACATTAATCATGTACTTGTGCAGTGAAGCCTTCCATCCTAAGACAATTATTACAGCAAAACAAGCAGCCAGCCAGTGGCCAACAAGATTGACTGAAAATCTGACTTCTAATCGAGACAATATTTAACACTTGAAAAGCAGCAAATGGCCATCAAAATAAGTCGTATTCCTCAAACCATGTTCTGGCAGAGAAGTTGGGATTTCATGACAGGTTGAAATAGAAGAGGTGGTCTGGAGATATGCCAACACCTGGAAGCTAGAATCTGTAGCACTGGCTAAAGCTGTTGATTGTTCCCCCTCACTCCACCTACAAAAGAGGGTTTCACCTTTCTTAGAATCACATGAGGCAGCTGCCTATGTGTAATGAAGCAATACAAAATACAAGATCATTTTAGTACATCCAACTCTTCTTTGATTCACAGTAACAGGTAGCAGCATTCTCTCTTAGTTTTGAATTCAGCCATAATTTCCTAGTGTGAGAATCACTCAAAAAAAATTATATACATATATGGATTTCACTCCTCTCTCTTTTCTCATAACAGAATTTACCTAACTTCTGACAAAAGGGCTTGTTCTTATTGAATACAAACGAGTTTTGACTCTGTTTTTAATGTCAACTACACAGATTTCTTCATCATTTCTTTCCTAATTTCTGAGACAAATTGGGGGGGAAAATCCATAAATCAGTTTGTGTTTCTAACTGGAACTTATTATGCAACTCTCAAATCTGCAACTATTATAAAGTAACTAACCATATGAAATTGATCCAGTTCTAATACTCCATAAACTGTTGCAAAACGATCCATGGCATGAACCGATTTATGAAGACTTCGTGGAAGCACATTGTACCAGTTAGATGCCTAACATCTATCCCATCCCAGTTTGCTAAATGATCCCGACCCCCTCTAAAATCTCAATCTCCAAGGCAACCCACAATCATTTCAAGAATGGACTGGATAATCACCTAAAAGTCTAGAACCAAAGTCCGAGCTACAATGAGTACAAAGAACGAATCTTTATAGTACGAAATATGAAACTTCAAATGAAATTGTTCACTTTAACTACTATCCCTTATTCTTGTAATACGCATAAGAATAGCGTATTATCTAACCAACATGGCCAAATCCAATCAATCAGTAGTTCTGAACTTAATCCTACTATCTGTTGATATCCTAGCAATCATTCACATAATTTCACCTAAATTCATCACTGTAATGGTAATTAGTACTTAATATGTAAATACAAAAAGAAAAAGAGGGAGAGAGAGAGTGGGAAAACTGACTGAGCACTGCTACTGCTTTTGGTTTTCTGAGAGTGTGAAGGGCTTTCACCAATTTTTGGATGAGCTGCAAAAGCTTCAAGCCACCCATTTACATCCACCTGAAAAAATGTTCTATCATGTATCCCATATTATACCCAACAAAATATATATATATATATATATATATGAATATGGAAAAGAGAAAGAGAGACCTTGTTGAACCAGATGTCTCTGGCAGCCTCAACAGCTTGCTGATAATTGGAGAAAGGCCCGGACAAGACCATTTCTTTGGCAAATTTGGTGCTTCCACAGCATCCCAAGAAATCTTTCTGATCAAACACTCCCATTAATTCCGTCTCTACCAAGCACTGTACGAGAATTTGGAGGGAGAAGATTGAATTCTTGATGAAAAGTGACCTTAAAGTCGTCTCAAATTGGCACCAGAGGACAGTTGGCCCTTTCTGTTAATTTGCATACTATAAGGGAGAATTGCTTTTGGGAAAATCACTAATTTAGTCCCTAAACTTTTTCACTAACACCGATTTGATCCTTGAAAGCTTTTTTTATACGCAATTGGTCCTTAAATGAAAATGTCGTGCCAATAAATGACCGATTAGGCTGTGCCACCCAAAACATCTTTTTTCTCGCCTAGGCGGGCAGCCATTTAGGGGCATTTTAGGAAGAAGATATTGGGGCCCTTTTGCTAACGAGATACCAAAAAAAAAAAAAACAGCACCATTAAATAGAGAAAATGTCTAGTGGGCTGTAAGAGAGCTGACGTTATGCTGGTTGCTGTTGAAGATTTTGGTTATGTGAAGAGCTTTCGGGTGGTTGGAGAAGATGGTGCCATTCTTGACAAAGGCTCTATGGGCCAAGGAACTTCCAACGAATATGAAATGGGGAGACCCGATTCTGAGAGTGATGAGGGGACCGTACTTGGCTTTCAGGTTTTGAAGGATGGATTCTAATTTCAAAAAGGACTTGCCGAGCTATGAAATGTTACCAACGATGATAAACGAATACTTCTCCATTGTTTTACCAATTCAAGATTTAAGATAAGAATTATGACAGCTTTCTAGTGGTCTATTTTATTTTATTAGTCTTGTAGTTGAGTGGTGGACAAGACAAATGGAAACAGGCACCGACGGAAAATTGTAGCATCCAGTCCGATGACTCTAATCAATTCTCCGGCCTAGAGAACAGAACATGACAGTAAGTGGACTCAAGATTCCCAATACCTATGACGTCATCAACATAACAATGCAACAAGCTCAAAATAGAATTTCGCCTACTAAAACTACCATACATCTGTCTTCATGTTTACTTTTGCGATGGGTTTGGCCCCCCTCTGTCTTCTCTGTAAAGCCAACAATGGTAGTGACGAAGCAGCAGTTGTATTGCATACGTTTGTAGGCACGACGGCAGGGCTTCTTCTTATCTTGCTTTGCGACCTTGGGAGTTTGACCTCTCACCTTAACGACACAAAGCTAATGAACTGGGAACCTTACCTATGATGAGATCTGCTTAGAGCTACTAAGAGATCTGCTTGGAGCTGCTGAGACCATGGTTCAAAGTCGCGTAGCGGTTGCAGTCTCAGTCCGGACCGTTCCATATCGTCTCGGCATATCGATCGTGGTTTCGGCGAGACGCAAATTTTTGAAATATTTAATATTCTAAAATTTGTAAAAAATATAATAAACAAAAATAATTAAAAAATTAGTAAAAATAATAAAAATTCGAGTTGACTCGGGATGACTCGGAGTGATTAGGTGTGACTCGGCCGTTCTAACCCTTCACGGTGACGTCTCAGCGAGTCGAGTATCTTGGAATCATATCGTCCCGATATCGTATCGGAAGGCCCGAGACGGTGACGAGACGACTCAACCGAGACTTTGAACCATGGCTGAGACTGCAAAGAGCGAAAGAGTAAGAATCGTTTAATGGTACTTTTTTTTTATTACTATTATTGCTAGTATCTCATCATTGATAGGCCACAATATCTTCTTCAAAAAATGTCCTAAATAGCCGCCCGTCCGAGTGAGAAAAAGATGTTTGGGGTGCGCCACCTAAAAGGTCCTTTATTTATTAGTATAGACATTTTACTTTAAGGACCAATTACATATGCAAAAACTTTGAAGGATCAAATTGTTGTTAGTGAAAAAGTTTAGGGACTAAATTGGTGATATTTTCATTATTTTTAGTGCATCAAAAAGGTGGCAGAGACCAACAGTAGTGTAACTTAGACGGCTTTGTTGTATTTTGTTACTTAGTGAGCTTGGAGATGCAATCAAGTGTACTAAGAAAAAGATGGCACTCATATTATTTATTTTATTTTATATTGGCACATTTTCAATTTTCCAAAAAGGGTGTTTTTAACGTACATTAATAGAGATGGCACTGAAGCAGGTATGAGTAATAGGATTGGAGGAAATGCGAGGCAAGGGTGGAAATCGGGGAGGGGGGAATTTTTTTCCCTCAGGTTAAAATAAGACGTGATGCGGGAGTATATATCATTTTATATATTAACAATTATTTTTTAAATTTTAGTGTAAGTGGGAGAGTTCGAACTTATGATCTTTCGCTCACATTCCTTTCTTCCGAACCATCCAATCTATTCCTCTCCTAACACATTATAGTGGACAAGTCAAGAAACCTGATGTTCTAGTCTATTCTTCCTCTTTTCTTTTGCAGCAACTTTTCGCAATCACACTCTTCGTCGCCTCTCCTTCTCGTTCTTTGCCGCCTTTTCTCTCTTTGAGGCTCTCATATCTCAAAAATTCACACCCCTTCCCATACAGATCTCTTACTTAGCCTCAAGCGTTGAGGACTGATCCATCATCACTATCCCTTAGTCCAAATCTTAGTGAGCAACAATTTTTTAGAGTAAAAATCAAGCCCTAGCAAAATGATGTGAAGGCAAAAGCAGTAATAGTAGGTCGGCATTCACTAATAGTAGTTTTTTTGTGGGTCAATTGTCACCATCTACTCTGCTCCTACTCCTACTCTAACTCATTTTAGGAGAAGAGCTAAATGAACCAATACGGGAACCGGTAGGAACTGACCAACTATCGGACAAACAGGTGTACTATGCCCCAATGAAGCCACGTAGTGGCAATGCCATAGGAGACAATGTTTGAATCCTTGATCTCCCACCCCAACATAACTTTAAGTCATTGATGATGGCCAATAGCCCAAACAGATATAGGTTACTAATAGTAGTTATAAGCGTGCGACTTTTGAGCATTGCTATGAGCTTTGGTTGCTGCATGCTATTACTGTGGCTTATTGTTGTAAGTTTGGAAACAATGGAACTTGAAGAAAAAAATTGCCATTTGTGGGCACCTGGGGTGAGCCGAGAGAGGATCGGAAGAACTAGGAAGAGGGGGATGGGAGGTAGTTGTCTGAAGATGGGGTGGGGAGCGGGAGAGGGATCCTCGGCTCGTCCTGCTCCTATATACTAACTAGTTTTAAAGCCAAAAGACTAATATCAAAAGTCAAGAAATGGGTATTCAAAAGTATAAAATCCTTACTGTTGACATAAGTAGTACAAATGCACATTATAAGTACAAAAAATTCTAAAACAAAAGTCTCACAAAATAAAAAGAAGAATTGAGAAACTCTTGCGGTTTGAAATTATCACTATCATTAAGGTTCTAATTGCCCTTACTACACTAAGTATTTGTGGTGGGGATATGGCAATTTATCCCTAGGATACACAAAGTGAGAAAAAAAAGTTGATAGTAAATGTCAAGTTTCTCAAACTAAATAAAAATCAATGATTCTAGTTAGTTTTTTTTGCTTGAAACTTGTTATTTATAGTAAAACATACATACAACAAAGATCATAAAGTGATTAGACCTATTCACTCATGTCTTGGGCATCAGAAGATGGCATTTGAACTTCTTCAAACATGAAAAGGTGCCAAATAACGTTTCGTAAAAGTTAACCACCGCATAAGATTCGCCCATGGATCAATATGCAAATCTTGAGCCCAGAATTCTTGAGCGTGTCCGAACTGAGCGGCAGTGTGTTGAGCGAACTACAGTAGAGTGAACTGACGCTGGCAGGGTAAGCGAGGCGAACGAACTAACAGAGAGGGAGCGAGCGAACTGTCCTGCAAAAAAGATGAACGGCGGGGCTAGTTCCCCGGAGTAGCTCTGACGGTCAAGTCAGCGAGAGCTCAAGAGTGGAGCAACAACATAAGATGCTATATATATGGCGTACCTAGTATTGCCTTGGGATGGTGTATTTATAGAGTCCTTGATGATAGTTTCCTTGTAGGAGCATGAGTCCTTGTCAAGAGGGAGTCTCCCTAGGGCTCCGTCTACCATCTCCGAAGGGTTCAAGGGCCACGGCCCACTAGGCCCATCCAGCGGGGAGGCGGCGGCCATGCGCGAACTGGCATCCCCCTTTCTCGAACTATCCTGTTCAAGCTGACAGGCTACCACGTCCGAACTGACACGTGGCACCCGCGGACTGGCCCCACTACAATTCTAGTTAGTTTTTTTTGCTTGAAACTTGTTATTTATAGTAAAACATACATACAACAAAGATCACAAAGTGATTAGACCTATTCACTCATGTCTTGGGCATAAGAAGATGGCATTTGAACTTCTTCAAACATGAAAAGGTGCCAAATAACGTTTCGTAAAAACTAACCACCGCATAAGATTCGCCCATGGATCAACATGCAAATCTTGAGCCCAGAATTCTTGGACTCATAGAACAAAATCCACACTTTGGATTTGGCTTGTATCAAACTCGGATTTGCACGCAGATCTTTAAGTTTTGAGTTATTCAATGGATCTTTATGTTTTGAGTCCGAATTAACTTTTCAAATTCAAAATTAACAAGTCTCATAATTCCGTTTCATTTGACAAATTATTCCAACACACACTCCTCTGAAAGCAAAGATGCTCACATGGTAAGTGGTTATTAAGTTTATGCTGCATTGTCGAGTTCGGTATTGCCACTAGGGCTCTTTTTTCATTATATAGCGACATTTTTTTAGACTTTAGCATAAAGGAATAAAGTAAAGGAAGATAGTGAAAGTGCCATTTTAACAATTATTGAAAGAAAAGGGGCTGACTGATTTAAAATGTACACTTCAGATGGTTAAATCTTTAGTTCCAGTCGTTACAATTTGTTTGGGAGATAGGATTTCATGAGAAAAAATTGCGAGAAATAAGGAACTTTTAGTAGTCTGCCACTTTTCTATTGGATAGAAAAAAATAGAAATGGGCTGATTCGACAAATGAATTTTGCATTTACACCTTTAAAAAGTTTTTCGCCGTTTATGGTCTAATTTGGATGGAAAGCTATAGAAAGCTTTGTAAAATTTTTTAAAATGCCAATTCTACCCATCAATGATTGCTAAAATTTTTTTAAAGAATATAAGTACTTAATATTTTGTTCAAGAGCTTTTAAAGAACTAATAACATCCATAAAAAGGAAGAGTTCATTTTAGTTAG